CGCAGCCTGCTGCAGGAGCAGTACAGGGCGTTGCCGCTGCCCCTCAGGGCAAGCATAGATTCTGACGCAGGAGGAAAACCTCGCAGCTTTACGCTTCCAAGAGACAGCGGGCTCCACGCTATCCTGGCGGCCACCGCTGCATCGGACCAGAGAGAGACCCAGAACTACCATCTGGACCGGACCAGAGACACAGGTCAGACTCACAGAGCCAAAACAATACATTATTGATTGTCACCATCTGTTTCGATCACTGCTAAGGAAGCTGATCAGTTTGATCAATTTTCTTATATTCCTCTTATTTTCCATGAGATTTCTTAATTAAATCATTTCACAAAATCTGCTGAAAGTTGTTGTTCTTGACAAAAAGAGAAGTTAGTTCTTCTCCTACTTGGGACTGATTGCTTGAAGAGAAAAGGCAATTTGAAGATGATTAAACGGTTAATGTACCTTTTTGTTTTACTCAAATTAGTCTCAGAAAAGATTTTCCAAAAGGTTGGTTGTGGCAGGATGTAATAATAAAACTACCCATTAGCAAACTGGTAAAAATTAATAAATAGCTGTATCTGCATTTAATCAGTGCTTCTTGACATTAAATATTATTTATCATCTTTTCACATTGGCGTAATTTGACAGTATACAGAAAAAAACAAGCATAGCCTTGATTGATATAATAATATTTGTTTGAGCAGTTAGCTTGAAGGTTATTTTGATGTGACCCTCTGTAGTCTAAGAGGGTCACATAAAAAGTTTTGGCGGCTCTGATTTGGCCCCCGAGCCTTAAGTTTGAAACATGTACTCTAGCAGGACAGCAAGCCTAAACATACAGACAGAGCTACAGGGTTGTCAGCTACCGCTAAGTACAATTTTTATAAGTCCCTGCTCCAGAACAATTAAACAATTGTTTAACAGATCAATTAAAATGGCTAAACTAACTCTGCAGTCTGTCATCAAGTTCTGCAGGAACCGGCTAGTGGCCCATACATTTGGTGTGAGTGTATTTTACCAAAAAAACATCTAAAACGTGCAGGACTGTGGTCCTGGAGGACTGAGTTTGGTCACCATCTGCTTCGATCAATTCATATCCATATGGCAGAATGGCCCACTTAAAGTCCAGGCCTAAATTTACCTAAGCTGAGGCATGACAAAACCACTTACATGATTTAATAAGATGAATGATTGTCCTTTCATTATGTGTGCACAAAAGCACAAAAATGTTGCAGTTTTCGTCGAACGCCAGCGCCATCTTGTGACGTAATCAGAGTAAATCAATTTGTAAACATCTAGGCTGAGTACACAGAAGCAGAGAAAGTCGTGTGCGATTTCAACAAAGAAATGTTGGAGTCATTGTTGATTCCTGAACAAAATAGCTTAAAAAATGGGTTTCTAGTCCTTCAGTAGAACCGGCTTCATCTTCTTCATCACGCCATCTGCAAAACTGGTGATAAATTACTCCAGCTGAAATCTCTCACGTCTGTATGCTCACCCTAGATGTTTATGGTTTGATTTACCCTGATTACGTCACAAGATGCTGGTGGAGTTTGACCCAGTCACTGCAGACAAAAACATCGACACTTCATTTATAGTATTCTCTGAGAAATATTTATTATTAAAAGCTTTCACAGAATGAACACAGTAGTTCATCTTTTTAAATCACATAAGTGGTGTTATTGTGTCAGTGCCACTGGAAATAACACAGAACTGAAAGACAATTCAAAGCTTTATATTTATAACATTGCTGATCCTGTGGAATCATTACATTGGTTCAAAAAGCATCGACGTCGACGTTTATAGTAGATCAGGGAACTACACAATTGCCCCTATTTGTCATCAGGGATGTTTTTAAATCCCAAGTATTCAGTCAGAGCCAGCAAATGTCAAAGGTTTAACGCTCACTGTTGTTTCTTCACAGGGTTAGATTGGAAGTCAGCCTATTTGCCATCCCCCCCTAAACCTTGAGGGCGTTTGTCTGTGGAAGAACAAATTCTGTTTCCTGTTTGATTCTGATTGATTTCGGCTCTTCTTTTTCTGACTCTTTCTCCCTTCTTTTATTTTGCTTTCTCTCATCCTCCATCCAGATGCCTCTGTAGCCTCTCGGCTCTATTCGGACAGTAAAGCACAGAGTAATCCTTTCAGTCAATGTTAATATTTTATTTTGGACAAAATTAAGAAACACACCGGAGGGGGACCGTCTTCCTTTATTCTTTGCATTTCCCACGAAGATAAAAAGAGCGCTAAACAAGCGTCAAAGTGATATGCATTTCAAAGCCCAGGCAGCCCCAAAGCTTCAGGATGCTACTTTCCAAATACCAAACAGGCATTTCACAGGATAGACCTTAATGTAGTGTGCCTAACACACCAGAAGAGGGTGCTGTATATTAATAAAAGGTAAATAAACTTATTCCGTTTATTTCTACCCCTAACCATGACCTATCACACATTAAATGATCCCTTTTCACACATAAAAAGCAAATACAACTTAACATGTGTTTAATTTGTGTTTCAACAAATAAGTGTACGTATTACTTTGTAAAAGCAGCACTATTTCTACATATTTGTAGTTAATTAAAAAAAATTAGCTAAAGCCAAATATGGCACAAAATGGAACAAAGGTTGTCTACAAACAGGTAGCAATACTTTATAATATCACTGAAGTAAAAAAATCAAATTTCTGATAAAACATAGACGCGGTGTGTGAACTCATTACTCTGCAGATTTCAGATTTGATTGAGATGTAAACATTTTGCTTTTATTTGCCGATCTGTTTACCGAGGTCGTGGACGTGACTGTCGAATGCAGACGGACTCACTGGTGGACTTGTACCGGGCCCTGGAGCAGACCAGTCTGTCCACCTCTGCTGACCACAGATCAGCCGGTCGCCTCGAATACAAACGCTCCTTTGTCCGCAGAGTTAACGACCCCCTCCTAAACGATAAGCTCCAGCGCCTGCGGATTCTTCACAGCTCACTGAAGGTAAAGAAACAACTTCCAGGAACCAATTTGTTTCCATTTGCGCCTCATTTTGCTGATCAGTAATCAGCACTTTTGTTTTCCGACAGAATGTTCCTCTTCAAGACACAAACCGGTCGCTGGGGTTTTTAGATTAGCCCCGCCGAGCGCCACCCCCACAGCTTGGCTTGTGCCTCATATTTGGAGTCAAAGGCACCAAAACACATCTTTTACCTCCTCAGCCATCCATCCACCCATCCTTTTATTTATTTTTGTTGCTTCTCTCAAAAGCAGAAACAAAAACTACTGATGTCACTTTTTTGCCTCATCTCATTCTCAAGCAGGGCAGGGATCCAAACAAAGATTGGATTAATAAAGTAACTGAAAGCACTTTGTGTCCATTTCAAAGATTCATCTGAAAGCTTTTAAAAATCATCACTTTCATGCATGGCAACCTCCCCCGCTCTTCTGTTGAATCCTTTTTACACCTTTATGCTAGAGTCGTGTACAGCTGCTCTTTAAAAAGCATCTTTTTATTTGTACGCCACTTTTCATTGTGCATGTACATTCGATCCATGGGTATGTTTGTTTTGTGACTGTACAGGGTGTTAAACATATTAACATATGTTGTATATTTAATATTACATTCCTACAACAGTGACCACACCATGTTTCTTTTTTTTTTGTTTGTTTGTTTGTTTTGGCTACCTATTTAATCTGTACATCAAGTGCTGTGCCTCAGTGATAGTGAATGTACATTGTACCTTTTTAAAAAGAGAGAAAAAGAGAAGATTTAGAGAGAAAGCTATTTCCTCAGAGAAGAGGCATAAAACTGTAACGCCTGGCAATAATGAACTAATGTATATTAAAATGGAGCGATAAGAATAGTTGTCTATTTTTGTATGCATGCTGTCTACCTGATTGTTTGTACGGCAGTTTTGTAATTCTAAGTGCATTTGGTTCAGAGGATGCTGGTGTTTTCGCTCCCACCCTTCCACCCACATCTCATGCACACAACCAGCACAGCGTGTTTTCTGTACTTATTATAGACACTGGCCCAGAAATGTGATTTTTTTTTCTCTCTTAATGTTAACCATAAAAACAAAATTGTATTTAGTAAGTGTTTAATGGAGAAGCATGCTCTGTAAGACTAAAGTACATTACCATGCCATTTGAAGCTGACCCATATTGCACACCTGTGCCATATTGTAGCTACATATTTTTTTTTTCTATTGATTAAAATATGGTACAGGCATAAACAAGGCTTGTTGTTTTGTCTCATTCAGGTTAAAGAGAAACTGACAAAAAATTTTTTGATTAACAGATGTAGAATAAGACATTAATTAATAGCCTAAGATAAGAGAAATACACAGTATTATAAAAATACATTTATTCTTAGAATCCCAATATTGACACTTAAATTTCAAATAAGTACGTAATTATATTGGCCTGCACAATATTGAAAAACCTTGCAATTGCTGTAACGCTGGTAAATATTGTGACAATAATATAAGTCTGTTTTCTTCATTACTCTTTTTCTAATCTGAGCTTTCTACTCCTTGATCTTTATCATTGTGGATAATGTCAGGACTCTTAAGCAAACACATTTTCTAACTTGGAGGACAGAAAATCAAAATGTAAGACTGAATAAACTTGAAACAGAATTTAGTTTTGATGGAGATAATCGGATTTCTCTGGAAAATGAAGTAGTACCCTGTAGCTTTTCATTATATCAGACTTTGCTAATTGCTAAAAAAAATGTAGTAGGTTCCAGATGATTCTGTCATAATAATAATAATGATGACATCTATAAAAAGTCAAAAGGAGAAGGGCAGAAACTGAAATAACATTTCAAGCATGGAAAAAATGTGGCTTTATTAAATAATCCCAGAAAATACTTTGTAAACTTAAACATAAGCACCGTGTTATTTTTGATACAAGCTTATTGAGATAAAATAATAAAATCTTTGTTCTATGTAGAGCTCAAAGCAGCAGAAATTATGAATAGGATGTAAAATTTTGGCTAAATATCAGCAGGTATAGTACATTTTTAAAATCATTTGTGCGTCTACTTAAGTAAAACTAAACTGCGGAGAAACATTTTAAAACTGGCAAGATTAACAGCACTCAAAGATGAACAAACAACATTATTAAACATGGATTCAGACTGCTGTAAATATAAGTCCTAAAATAAAGCCACATTTAGATGACTTTTGAACACCATGCTGGATACACATTTAATGAACCCAAATCTAAAATATCTTGACTACGTCACTTGTACTTGGTGAATAGCTTGATGAGTCGGACTCTAATTATTTGTGTGCCCAGGCCGTATATTAGGGCATTTAGGAGCGGCGGGAATATCAAAAAGTACAGGGACAAAAACAGCTTAGTGTGATAAGACATGTGCCTGTTGTCAAGACGACCTTGTGCCAGCTCAAAAAAGCACCCAATGGCGTAGTTGATTACAGCCAGTAGATGGGGAATGCAGGTACGGAGGGCCTTGAATTTGGATTTGCTGAACGACATTATGCAAATCTTCAGGATGTGTCCGTATGAGTAAAAGATCATGATCAGCTGAGGAGCCGTGTAGAGAGCTGCAAACAGCAGGCCGATGATGTTAAGTATGAATGTATTTGTGCATGCAAGCTGCACAAGCAAGTAGTTGAGGCAGTAAAGCTTCTCTATGATCCGGCCACAATATGGCAGCTGGAGAGTAAAAACGAAAACCACGCTTAGTGCCAGCATGGGGTAAAGCCACATAAAAACAATCAGCTTCACTATCCTCTGAGACATGATCACATGGTAGGACAGTGGATGACAAATGGCTACGTATCTGTCATAGCTCATCACCGCGAGAATAGTGAATTCGGTGATGGCATAAGTGTGTATAACAAAGACCTGCGTCTGGCAAAAAGAAATAGAAATCTCGTGAGAGTGAGAGAGAATGTTGAGCAGCGTCGCCGGCAGCAAGGCGGTGCTTCCTACCAGCTCATTCAAGGCCAAATTACACAAAAGCACATACATTGGCTGGTGCAGGGATTTTTCACAATAAACCACTCCCATCAGCAAGACATTCTCGGTGATGATGGTGAGGTATACAATGAAGAAAATGCAGAAATACATGGACTTCAGCTCTTCCATTCCATAGTAAGCAGACAGATAAATCGATGTAACAAGAGAAAAATTCATGTCGAAACAACTTGATCTGAGTTGGTGACCTAAACGTGTTCACATGTTTGAGTCTGAATGGCATTTAAATGCACTGAGCAGTAAAACCGCAGCTTTTTATCTGTTCTTCAGTGAGATAAAGTCACATCCTCTTCACCTGTGCTCCAATAACTTCACAGCACGTAAGCACTAGTTTTATTCCTCCGAGATCAAAACCTAAAACATTACGTCGTCTATCTACGAGTAATTTATTCTTTTATCGAACTACCCTGAACTGAGACTCAATAATTATCGACATGATATAAATTAGCTAAACTTAATGCATCACAATGACAAATTTGGTATTTTTGTGAAACATACTGGTATTGTTTTTAAACAAGAGTTGTATAAAAGTAAAGCAATAATGATAAAAGACAGAAAAATCTTTTTTTTATTTGACTATTTAAATATTTAAATTACACATTTTTTGTGTGAAATCACTGCACTGCAATGAAAGACAAATTCATTTATAGACGTTTTACACACCTTAGCCTGGACTGCTACACAATTTGACTGATTTCAATTTTGGGTTTTCCTTTAATTTGGTGTTCTTCTGAAGTCTTATTTTTATTTTGGAGCCCTCAGTGGACATTAATTTAGTTTTTAATTTTGTAAGTACAATTGTTTATTTTCACCTCCGCCTCCTTACTGCATTGAGTTCTTCACTATTATGCGACATTTACTAAAAAAAAAAAAAAACGAAAAAAGAAAAAAACTTGCAGCTTTTTGGGAGTCAACATGCTGGGGTGTTGTATTCAGAGTTTCCCACAGAGGTTTATAAGCCTGGCGGGCCTCCAGGCCTTACTTGTCCTCCCTACTTACCTCTTTGGGGCTAAACATAGTTTGCTTATTTTAAATTGGGCTTTTTATACACCACTACCAGTAAAGACGGATTAAGCTAGGTTCATACGCATGATGCCTGCTCATGCATGTTAGAATTGTTGTAACTTTTAACACAAAAACACAGTGGCCTGCTAATGGACTGCCCTACTGCCCCCTACCCCTGAGCTTAGCAAGTTTTCTGGGGGAAACCCTTGTTTGTATTTTCTTTATTTTTGTTAAATTGTTCCAGGCTGGAAAGTGGAATAGAATAGACTTTATCATCTCTGTGTGAAATTTGTCTTGGTCAAAATGCTACACAGTTACCAATGAAAACTGTAAACAACACACAAAGATAAAACTCTGGTTCAAAGCAATCAACAAGGCAACAAATTGAGGGTATAATGTGTGCAGTGAACGTTTTTACTGGAGCTCTGCAGTCTGATTGAGGCTGAAACAAATGACAGTCAGTCTGTTGGTCCTACACTGTGTCATCCTCACCCGCTGCTCATATTCAGAGAGCAGTAGGTGTCTATAGTCAGGGGATATGATTCCTGCTGTCCTTATCAATGCTTGTTCATATCTGTATGGGTTCGTAATCTCCTAAACCGATTATTTTCAGAGCTACTGAATAAATGTGGGCCAGTTTATTCCTGAGTTGGACAGTTAGGCCTTGATTCTGTATTGTTTAATGCTTTCCACTGCTTTTAATTAGTACATAATATTAAACAAAACACATTTAACACATTCACTTAAGTTGTCTTTATTTGGAGACATTTTCAAAGTTCAACATTACACAGAATCCACTAATCTAACTGATCATGTGATCAAAATCGATTTCTATGTTGTTTCTTTCATTTAAAGCTTCAGGTTTTGGTCAAAATATTACGACCACATCAGATTGAAAGTTCAATAAAAACTGGTTCAGCATTTTTGCCCCTTGACTTTTTATTGTAGGAAATTTTGATCAATATAAACCTATTGTTAATGACTTATTTAGCAGCAACTGGAGTAAAAAAAATATTTAAAACTTTCCAATTGTTAGTTAGTTTGTCAGGATGAATTTGTACTTTTCCACCAAAAACCCTCCAATGAATTCTTAAGAGCAAAAGTAACCATGTTAAATCACAAATGAGTTAGTGTCCAATTAGTCACTGTATGTTTTTGTTCCTCTTGAAAGTAATTAAGACAACTGATTTACAACAAGGGAAGCTTGTTTGGATAGCACCTGGAGAATAGAGATAAAAGTCAGGAGACAACCACTAATGACTTCCCTTTGGAAAAATACTGATGCAACACTGATGAAACTGTCCAAGGGGCTTGACCCTTTGGTAATGTTGGTCACCACAGTATTTATTTGTTTTTTGTTATTTTTATCGAGCTGGATTTTACTAATTAGACTGCTTTGGCAACACCTTTGCAACAATATCCAGTATTTTAAAGTGTCAAAAATTTATCTGAAGCAACTCTTTATATAAAAATAAGCACAAAAGGTTAAAGTACCATGTTTGGTCTAATATGGACTGTTTAGCTTTTGTAGATCCAGTCTGGGATAGATGGATTAAACTGACCCTAAGCACTTTAGTAACATTAAGACTGGCATCCAATGGTGACCTCTTCTGACTTTGGAGACCCAAAGGAGTGCTTTTAGATCATTACAATATCAAATAAACAATATTTAAGGGAAACAATCCTCTTAATGGTTCAAGCTGATGGAGTCTTTATGATTTGTACAGAGGAAAAACACAAGGAATTGTAAAAAAATAAATAAATCCCTAGCATGATGCAAGCAAAAATGCATATAACACAACTGGATTTTTAAGTTCTTCATAAATTCAGCTTCTTGGAAACATTTACCTCCATAATTAGTGCTGAAGTGTGGAATTAATCATCTAATCAGAAGCAAAGATAGGGTGACATAAAGAAACTAAACTCATATGACACTTTTGTAGTCCCACTTAAAACTTGACTTATTTATGTGGAAACTTTAATTGAACCCACAAATTTGCAGCCCCCATACAGTAAATCAGAACTGTCACAACTGACAGATTTCAAGAAAAAATTATATCAAGAATCTATTAGTACAGCCAATGTAAGTTATCTTAAGCTTTTATTAATAGTCTGACATGCTGATAAAGAAAAAGAAATCAATAGAATTTGGATATTAGGACAGTTTTAGAAACAATTGCAGATGTGCTCTCCTTCTTTGAAACGCAAGCTCCAGTGACAGTTTTGGAGGCCGCGCTCATTTATCACAAAGAAGGTAACCTCGCATCCTCCAGGGAGCGAGAGCCAGGAGGAATGTGCAAAATCTGATTTAAAACTGGCTTTTCTACTATTGGAAGATTTCACTAACTTGTCCCATGACAACACTTGGATCACGGGTTAAAAACGCTGAACTCGTTTTCATGATGTTATTAGGAAAGGCATGTTCTCTTTAGGCTTCTTGTGCCGAGTTAATATCAATATCCGGTGACCAGCCTGCTGCTTCATATTAACTTCTCTCCTCCTTGCTGACCAAAACTATGCAGATCCACACCAAACCATCACTTTGGAGCGTCACTCTCAGGCTCAACCATGTTTTCATATCGTACAGCAGCTTTCTTTATCTTAATGCTCTTACTTCTCCATGGTGAGTCTTGCTTTTGAAGTTCTGCATGGTTTTCTGCAAATGGTAGGACTTAAAGATACTTTTCCACACATTGCGATTGTTTTTCAGCTGTTGAAAATGAAGCTGTATCGTTTCCTTGGTCCTGCTCCACCCTCAGTGGAGTGTGCAGGAAGGTTTGCCTTCCAACAGAAATGTTCTTTGGACCTCTGGGCTGCGGCAAAGGCTTCCTGTGAGTAGAATTATGAAAATGCTTTATCTGAACATGTATAGTAGCAGTCAAAATTCAGTTGCTTTTTCATTTTTAGGTGCTGCGTTTCTCATTTTCTATGAGGTGGACATATCTGATCAGTATCTGCAGAAATCCAGTCGAGCTAAGAGACGCTGCATTCATCAAAGATAAAGAGAAGCAGGCAATGTGTTTGGCTTTTATAACAGGATTTACTTTGTGACATTTTAACTTCTCACATTTATTCTTGTTTGATCATTTAATGGCATAAATGTTTTGAATAAAAGATGCAAATTACATTTTTTTTTTTATTGTTTTTTTTGTACAAGATTTATATATTTTCATTTAAGTTCAGATTTTGATTTTGCTTGTCTTTTTTTTTCTTTGATTAATGGTAAAACAGTGTTTGTTTTTATCTGGTAATAAATATCCAAAAGTCAATTTTCCAAATCCTTTAATTAGGGATTTGGTTGGGTGTTCTGTGTCCAGCAATCATTAATCACAAACGACCCTCGAAAGGTCACAGGTCCATTACAAAGACACACAGATATGCACAACTACACATTTCTGTTCTGCAAGGAGGGCCCAGACAAAAATGAAGACTCACATCGAAAGACCCCAGTCAGGATTTAACCTTTCAGACTTTCTTGCTGTGAAGTAATAGTGTTTAACAACTGCCCCATGGGGCACAAATATGAGTAGAAATGTGTTCCAAAAGACAGTTTGTGTTTTATTAAGATCATATCTCACAAAAAAGCATTTCTGAAGTCAAACTTCAGAAATGAAGGAACAAATACTTTTCACTTTTTTTCTAGATTGAGGATATTAGGCATTTTAAATGAATGGCTTAAATAGAAAAAATATGAAATTACAAGACCTGAAACATTGCCAACGTATGCACACAAGTATACACTGTCATATACAGGATGTAGGAAACAGACAAACTGGTGCCGCAGACTGATAGAGAACTTATCTGAAGTCAGGAAGAACTGAATGGTTTTGTCGGCATAAAGCTCACAGAAACGTGCTTCTGTCATCACATGGCCAACTCATTATTAATTTTTTCATGTAAAAAATCTTCATTCATATAAAGCACCATTATTTTCATGGTGACAGGGAAAAAAGAAAATACTATATCTACATCTTAAACAGTTAGACTTTGTGACTGATATTCTAAGAACAATTTTTCTTTGTTTGCATTGCACCTACAGCTCTTGGTCCAACAATGAAGCTGAAGTTCTGCTTGAATAGGGTGTCAGAACTACATCTAATTGTTGCATTGAGTTACCTCTAAAGTGTTTTAAATGTAAATTTCTCAACTATGCA